TTGATGTTATGGTTTTGGCTTTTTTTTCCGTAGTGCTCATGAACCAGCCTCTGTGAGCTTTAAGCTTTTTCTTCTGCAGGTTCCTCATGTCCCTCAGCCTTCATAGAATTGAAGAGAATCAAAGCCATGCCCTATATTTAGCTTAAGGGACTGTTGTGGCTGGTTTGATCTTCTATCCAGACCACTCAGACTTTCTCCATGTCAGCAGTAAGACTCTTTCACTTTCTTACCATTCGTGTGTTCACTGGAGTAGCACTTTTAATTTTCTTCAAGAACTTTCCCTTGCATTTAAACTTGGCTAACTCTTTGACACACAAGGACTAGCTTTCAACCTGTCTCAGTGTTTGACTTGCCTTCCTTACTAAGTGTGATCATTTCTAGTGAGAGACATGTGACTCTTTTTTTCACTTGAACAATTAGAGGCCATTGTAGGGTTATTAATTGGCCTAATTTCAGTATTGTTGTGTCTCAGGGAATAAAGAGGCCCGGGGAGAGGGAGCGAGATGGAGGAACAGCTGGTCAGTGGAGCAGTGCGAACACACACAACACTTAGTGATTAAGTTCGCTGTCTTATATGGGCACGCTTCATTGCACTTCAAAACAGTTGGAATAGTAACATCACAGATTACTGACCACAGATCGACATGACAAATATAATGACAATGAAAAAGCTTGAAATACTGCAAGAATTAGCAAAACGTGACAGATGTGAAATGGGCAAATACTGTCAGAAAAATGGCACCAAGAGACTTGCTTCATGAAGGGTTGGAGCGACCTTCAGATTTGACAAAACAAAACAAAAGGAAAACCCAACAACAACAAAACAATTTTCTGTGAAGTGCAATGAAGTGAAGCACAATAAAACAAGGTATGCCTGTATATGTATGTATTATACATATTTAATATATTTCAATTCACTGCAGTTAATATTTTATTAATGTTTATAACTCTCATTATTGGTCAGTTTGGAGCCTTTTTAAGTTGATGACTACCATGGCTATAGTCTTTACTGACAGATTACTAGATCTCTGGAATGACAAAATGTTCTAGGCTTATTTTGTACATTTCCTTCCACAGACCCGGAATCAGCTATTTCTAATTGGTTTTTGTGTTTTTCTTTTTTCTTCTCTTTTTCCATTAGCAATAATTGCACCTCAGATAAACCTCATTGGCTACGATACTGCCACTGTGCAAAGCTTCTTTTTCTTTTTTATTTGAAATCACACCTTATTTATTAGGTTTAGTAAAGAGAGCTAGAAAATGCTTTTTATGGTACTGGCACATGGCTTTGATTCTCTTTGATATTACAAACTGTAGTTATCAAGACAGTATGGTACTGGCACAAAAACAGATGCATAGATCAATGGAACAGAATAGAAAACCCAGTCTTTTTTTCTTTTTTTAGATGAAAGTCTTATACTTCCAATTTGTAGTTAGGACTTCAAGGTCTTTGTTTTGTTTACTCTTTATTGGTGTGAAATCTGTATCTTTGTCTCTATATATCTATATATATATATAATCCAAAATACCTTCTCCCATTCCATAAGCTGCCTTTTAGTTTTGTTGACTGTTCCCTTCACTGTACAAAAGCTTTTTATCTTGATGTTGTCCCAATAGTCATTTTTGCTTTTATTTTCCTTGTCTCTGGTGATGTGTCTAGTAAGCTAGAAGTAGAATTACTAGTCTGGTAAGAAGTTGAAGAAGAGCTAATACCTATTCTTCTCAAACTATTCCAAAAAAACAGAAATGGAAGGAAAACTCCTTCTGCAAAGTCAGCATTACTTTGATTCCAAAACCAGACAAAAACCCCACTAAAAAGGAGAACCACAGGCCAATATTCCTGATGAACATGGATGCAAAAATTAAAGATACGAGCAAATTGGATCCAGTAATACATTAAAAGAATTATTCACCACAATCAAGTGAGATTATTCCCAGACTGCAGCGGTGGTTCAATATTCACAAATCAGTCAACATGATAACCACGTTAATAAAAGAAAAGATAAGAACCATATGATCCTCTTAACAGATGCAGAAAAAGCATCTGAAAAATATAGCATCCATTCTTTTTTTTTTTTTTTAAGATTTTATTTATTTATTTGTCAGAGAGAGGGAGAGCAAGAAAGCGAGCACAGGCAGGCAGAGGCAGAGGGAGAAGCAGGCGCCCCGATGAGCAAGGAGCCCTATGTGGGACTCGATCCCAGGATGCTGGGATCATGACCTGAGCCAAAGGCAGCTGCTTAACCAACTGAGCCACCCGGGCGTCCCTATAGCATCCATTCTTGATAAAAACCCTCGACAAAGTGTAAAGATAGATGGAACATCTGTACCTCAACAATGAAGCAGCAGAAAAAGAAATCAAGGAATTGAGCCCATTTGTAATTGCACCAAAAACAATAAGATACCTAGGAATAAACCTAATCAAAGAGGTAAAAGATCTGTCCTCTGAAAAAGAGAACACTGATGAAAGAAATTGAAGAGGACACAAAGAAATGGAAAAACATTCCATGCTCATGGATTGGAAGAACAAACATTGTCAAAATGTTTATACTACCCAAAGGAACCTACACATTTAATGTACTCCTTGTCAAATACCACCAGCATTTTTGCAGAACTGGAACAAACAAACCTAAAATTTGTATGGAGCCACAAAGATTCCAAATACAATCTTGAAAAGAAAAGAGAAAAAAGAAAAGCTGGAAGCATCATGATTCCAGATTTCAAGCCATATTACAAAACTGTAGTTATCAAGACAGTATGGTACTGGCACAAAAACAGATGCATAGATCAATGGAACAGAATAGAAAACCCAGAAATGGATCCACAACTCTATGGTCAACCAATCTTCAACAAAGCAGGAAAGAATATCCAGTGGAAAAAAGATAGTCTCTTCAACAAACTGTGTTGGGAAAACTGGAGAGCAGCATGCTGTTGAAACTGGACCACTTCCTTACAGCATACACAAAAATAAATTCAAAATGGATGAAAGACCTAAGTGTGAGACAGGAGACCTCAAAATCCTAGAGGAGAACACAGGCAGTAACCTCTTTGGCCTTGGCCAGAGCATCTTTTCATATATATGTTGGCCATTTGTATGTCTTTGGAGAAATGTCTACTCAAGTCCTTAAACCTATTTCTAAACCATGTTATTAGGGTTTTTTGTTTTGTTTTGTTGTTGTTTTGTTTTTTGCTTTGGAGTTATATATTTTGGATATTAACCCCTTATCAGATATATGATTTGCAAATATTTTTCCCAGACTAGAGGTTTCCTTTTCACTCTACTGATCATTTTCTTTGCTATGCAGAAGCTTTTTAGTTTGGTGCAGGCCCTACTTGTCTATTTTTGCTTTTGTTTCCTGTGCTTTTGGCATCATATCCATAAAATCATTGCAAGACCAATGTCATGAAGTTCTTCCCCCCTATGTTTTCTTATAGGAGTTTTACAGTTTTAAGTCTTAGGTTTAAGTCTTTAATCCATTTTGAGTTGATTTTTGTTTATGGTGTAAGATAGGGCTCAGTTTCATTCTTTCACATGTGGATATCTAGTTTTTCCAATGCTGTTTGTTAGAAGAGACTATCCTTCCCCTCTTGTGTACTCTTTGGCCTCCTTGTCAAAGACCAGTTGACTGTGTATATGTTGATTTATTTCTGGATTCTATTCTTCCAGTGGCTTATATGTCTGTTTTTATACTATTATCATATTGTTTTGGTTACCTTAGCTTTGTGATATATTTTGAAATTAGCAAGTTTGATGCCTCCAGCTTTGATCTTCTTTCTCAAGATTGTTTTGGCTATCTGGGGTCCTTTGTGAGTCCATATGAATTTTTGAATGTTTTTAACTATTTCTGTATAAAGATGCCATTGGGATTTCAATTGTATTGATCTGTAGATCATTTTTGGTAGTATGGTTATCTTGACAAAATTAAGTTTTCTGATTTGTGAACATAGAATGTCTTTCTACTTGTGTCTTCTTTAATTTTTCATCAGTGTTTTTCAGTGTATAATTTGTTCATTCCTTAGCTAAGTTTATTCCTAAGTATTTTCTTCCTTTTGATACTATTGTAAATTGGATTGTTTTCCTAATTTCCTTTTCAGATAGTTTATTGAGTGTATAAAAGTACAAGTGATTTTTTTGGTGGAGTCTGTAGGATTTTCTACATATTTAAGATCATGGCATCTGAAAACAGGGACAGTTTTACTGTTGCTTTTCCAGTCTGAGTTCCATTTCTTTCCTCATTGCTCTGGCTAGGACTTAGAGTTGAATAGAAGTGGTAAGAGTGGTCATCCTTGCCCTATTCCTTATCTTAGAGGAAAACATTTTGATTCTTCACTATTGAGTGTGAAGTTAACTGTGGACTTTACATGCCTTTATTATGTTGATATAATTTCTCTCTATTCTTAGTTTGTTGAGAGGTTTTAATCTCTTTGTCTTTGTCTTTTATCTCTTTGTCTTTATTTCTTTGTCTTTGTTGAGACTGTTGAATTTTATCAAATGCCTTTTCTGTATCCATTGAGATGATCATGTGACTTTTTAATCCTTTATTCTTTTAAAGTGGTATATCACATTAATTTTTCTGTGTTGAACCATCCTTGCCTCCCAGAGATAAGTCCCACTTGGTCATTGTGTATAACAGTAATATATTTGAGAGAATCCTAAACATTTTATTGTCTTGTGCCGCATAATTTGCTGTTGAACTTCAAATTTTTTTATATTGCTAAATATCTGTGCCCTGGGAGTTGAAAGAACTTATTAAAATATTTAAAAGAAAGAACTTTTACTACCAATTTTAGCTATATTATTAAAGGCCACTTACTTTAAAATCACAGGATTATGTATTTACATGTTATAAGTGAACTTTCCATGTAAGTCTATGTTAATGTTTAATCTGTATGATGGAAAACAAATCAGAAAAAATATTTATCTCTAAAATATGTTTTATTTGTGGTTTTTTTTTTTTTTTTTATTTTTTTTGGTATTTTGTGTCCTGAATTTGAAGCAGAATCTCACTTTCATCAGCACTGTTGAAAGGAGAAAAAATGCCAGTCCTGTCTCCGGAAATCAAATTTGATACTTCCAATGTTACCAGAAATTCCTTTGACAGTTGTTTTCTTTTTGAGAGTAGTTGGAGGAAAGCAGTTTTAGAAACACAAAAGATGAAGAAAGGTAAGTTTATCTTTACAGTTATTTTACTGAAGAAAATATAGAAATAGTGCCTTAAACTAACACATATATTTTTTTAAGCAGTCAGGAGACATCTTATAATTTTTGTAACATTTATGGAAGGATAATATCCTAAGTTTATGGAAAATAAAAATGGAAGCAAATTAAAATTAATTTACTTAATATAATTCTGTAACTCATGATGGAAACAAATTTTAAAGAACTACTTCTCTTGGCATCAGTGCAGTACTACCTCTGTTGGGTCATATTACTTTTCACAAATTTTGTTTGTTTTTAAGCATCTCGAGTTGATTTTTGTGTTTTAAGAAACCCAAATCTTTAACAGCATCTTTTTGTATTTATAGTTCTAACCAGAACTTTATTTTTTCTGTGAGTTATGTGGCAAGTATTTTATATTCTACCCTTGCTCAGTAAGGACTAATTTGAGGAATTTTGACATGTGTATGAATATATTAATAGTTTAATTTCAGTTTATACTTCAAATTTCAAATTCTACTTGTATTTCTTGTTTATCCTGAATTCTGCCTTCAGCTTTATAAATAGAGATGTAATTCTTGAAAAGAGTAAAATCCAAACTCCCCAACCCATATCATCACTCCTGGTTTTGAGTGTGTTGCTCTATTTTTCCAACTTTTCCACTGTATTCGCAGTAAAGATACTCAGAAAACATAAGTTTACCTGTACTTTTACCCCGAAATTTAATTGCTGAAAAGAGAATTTGTATGTTTTTTGATCAGGAGAAACTTTTTTTTTCCCAGAAGAAGAAAAATCAAAGGTAGCAAAATAACATTTGGAGGATTTAATATAACTCCAGTCGGATTAAATACTATTTTTATTACTGTGCTAGACTTCATTTTGTTTTGTTTTTAAATAATTTGACAATCTCTTTTATGTGAGGTCAGTAGAAGAAGAAACCTTGATGCTTCAATGTTAGTGTTTATAGATTTGCTGTGAAATTTTGCAGAGAGAAAATTACCATTTTTTAAAGATTTCATTTATTTACTTATTTCACAGAGAGAGAGAACAAGCAGTGGGGGAGCAACAGAGGGAGAAGGAGAGAGGGAGAGGCAGACTCTCCATTGAGCAGGGAGTCCGATGTGGGGCTCTATCCCAGGACCTTGGGATCATGACCTGAGCTGACAGCAGACACTTAACCACTGAGCCATGCAGGCGCCCCTGAGAAAATTAAAATCAATGCCTGAAAAAAATTCTTTTATGTCTCATTGTTAACTAAATAATCATGTATTTATACCTCTTATTTACATAAAAGCAAGAAGGTAGAAAGGTTTAAAGTAGCAGATAATATTAGACTCTTAAAAATGCTTTTAGGGGCGCCTGGGTGGCTCAGTGGGTTAAAGCCTCTGCCTTCGGCTCAGGTCATGATCCCAGGGTTCTGGGATCGAGCCCCACATCGGGCTCTCTGCTCAGCGGGGAGCCTGCTTCCTCCTCTCTCTTTCTCTGCCTGCCTCTCTGCCTACTTGTGATCTCTGTCTGTCAAATAAATAACTAAATAAAATCTTTAAAAAAAAAAATGCTTTTAAACTCTATTTCAATGTGAATATCTCTAATATTCTGGAAATTCTAATTATATAAAATAATGAGGGCAGAAGACAGGGACAACTGTAGGAGATCTGTGAACCTGCCCTTTTTCCTTATTCTACTTGGGAAAGATACTAGATAAAGAACAGTAGCTTTATTTTCTCTCCTTAATGACTGATTGAGTATATTGTATTATGCATTTTAGTATGTAGTAAAAGAAGTTATATACATTTCATCAAGAAATAATACCATTAATTATGATACCATTTTTAATTAGAATACACCACTGCCTTTGGTCTAGAAGAGTTCAAAGAATGTGTCAAGATGCCGTATTTACCAGGACTGCAGAGTTGCCCAAAAAGTGTAAGTTCAACTCCACTGGAAGTTCGTCCAAGACTGCTGCAGGCTGACCCCGAGATGTGTCCAGTCAGGTAGACCATTGCTATTCAGTTCTCTTGCCTTCCACTCGCATCTGTAGTAATAACTGTTAAACGGAGAGGTTTTCCTGCCTAGTGAGTGGAAGTCTTTCTTGCCCACTGATATTTGTTTCATAAAGGATCTCTTGTTTTAGTCTAGGTAGCAATTTTAGTCAGTTTGACAAGTAAGCCATTTTCTCAGTTTTCAAGGGACATTGCCAGAAAGGACTTAAGGACTTCCTTTTAAAAATATCTGCTGCTCTAGTGTAGATTGCCCATGAGAATATCGGAATTTTTAGCAATAAAATTAAATGAAGTCTCTGCAATGTTAACAGGTTTCTGTACGACGAATATAGTACCTCGGGTTTCGTCTCTAGTTTGAGTGACGTCATGCGAGGGCAGGTTCTAAATGAGATGACAGCCTGAAGAAGACCAGCGCTGATGAGTGGAAAAGGAGGCGTCAGCCAGAAAAGTCCGACTCACTTTGAATATTGGCATTTAAAGCCATTATCATAATTACCTTCCTTTTTATAAATTAGGCTGGCTGGCATACCATTAAAAGAAATCCCCTTTCTCCAAAGGGATCTAGAAATTAGTAAGACGGTCTCATATTTGATTTGGTGGCTGCTTTGGTTTATTTATTTATTCATCAGGTATCTATTGAATATCTAGGACTTACTCACTTTGGTAGCCTAAAAAAAAAAGATGCTGCATTTATAGTAGTCTGAGTTGCTACTTTCCTTAGGGGAAATTTTGTATTTTCATATTTCCTGAGCTTTAAAGTCAGCCAGTTACACACAGCACACAAACATAGGAGTTTTAGAATATACTTTTCCACAGTGTTGTTCTTGTTAATTACTCTTGAAATAAGTTTTGGTCATATAAAATGACACTAAAAATGAAAAGTTATGCATAATTTACTAAATTATGAAAACGCATAAGAACTTCGCAGAAAATTTGGAGCAAAAAAAGATAAACAGTATTTTGATAATTTACCCATTGTAACGTATCAACTTTTCTTGTTGGGTGTTTGCTCTCTTCTTTTCTTCTTCATTTTTGTGGACTTTGTTTTCTCTATGATCTTAGTGTACTTACAATTTTTTATTTTGCCTTTTTAACTTATTATTACACATACTCATTTTTTCATGTCACTGCATGATCTTCAAACAGTCTTTACTGGCTACATTGTATCTCATTAATGGATCCATAGTTTGTTTAATCATTCCCTATCATTTTTTTAAGATTTTATTTATTTCTTTGACAGAGAGAGAGATCACAAGTAGACAGAGAGGCAGGCAGGGGAGGGGGGAAGCAGGCTCTCGGCTGAGCAGAGAGCCTGACGCAGTCCTCGATTCCGGGACCCTGAGATCATGACCCGATCCAACAGCAGAGGCCCAACCCATTGAGCCACCCAGGTGCCCCCAAACTATTCCCTATCATTTTTTTACATTGACTTGAGTGTGAATTTGCCTAACCAGGGAAGGATAATTTGAATACATTAAATTCATGTTATGACAAGTGCTGTTCATATACAAAGTGGAAGAGTGGTGGCTACGTGCCATAATGTTTATGAAGTGCTTGGCCAACATAAATGTTAGTTCTTTTCTCTGTCTTTGAAACAAGTGTCTTTATTTTAGCCAGTCTAGTGAGAACATGTCAAGTTGCGTGCAAGTGTTTTATTCTCCTCTGCATATTGCACAGCGCCCCGTGAACGAAAAGCCGTGGCATAGCAGGGAAGTAACACATTTTTGTTCGTCTTGTGTACAACCCCTTCCCACCTTTTTTCCTTCCATATGTGAGTATTTGTTTTAAAAATGCTGATTGTTTTTTTTTTTAATTTTTTTTAAAGATTTTGTATCTATTTATTTGACAGAGAGAGAGCACAAGCATGGGGAGTGGCAGGGAAAGGGAGAGGGAAAAACAGGCTCCCCACAGAGCAGAGGGAATTCAATGTGGGGCTGGATCCCAGGAACCCGGGATCATGACCTGAGCTGAAAGTAGACGCTGAACCAATTGAGCCACCCAGGCACCCCTCAAATTTATTTAATTATAATCATACACTTTAAATGACTCTCAAGGCACACTCTGGTAATATAACTGATAGTAGTAATCCTAGAGGTGAAGGGCATTTAAAAGTTTTGGCTGACTTCTAAAGTTTAATATAGTTACAGGAAATTTGCAGTTCTTATGGATTATCTCACCTACGGCAGGTTCGGTGGTGACATACTTCCTCTAATAACCCACTTGTTATGTAGGTCTGTTCCCAGTAGGAACAAAAGTTAATTAAGATAAAATTCAGATTGTGGTGATTAACAAATAAAAGGTACACAAATAAGCAATAGTTAGTATCGGCCTGTCTAGATAACCTTTTTAATTTAATCTTGATTCCCTTCCTCTTAGCATTCCCTGAATTATACTTGGAGAAAGTTAAGATAAAGATAAATATGGGGAAAATTAGCATTACATTTATCTACAGGTAATATTTATTAGCAAAACCTAAGATGTTGAGTTGTTCCTATCTGCTTCTGATTGGATCAGTTATGGTGGAATGAGTTCACTTTCTTTAATGTTTATTTACTTTCCATGTGATGTCCTTCGCAAAGTGAGTTTTGCTAAAGGCAGCTTCTTGTCTCTTATTGTATTTTATAATTAATCTATCCTGGATTTACATAAAGGTGATTTTATGATAATATGTAATTTTAGGATAAGGAAGACTAAGGAAGCCCGCACTGTGGTACCACTTCAGGAGAAACCAAAGGGTAAGTTGGCTCATTTTCTTCTCCCGCCACATGTCTTATTAGGTTGTCCCATACTTACTCTTTTTAACTTCCTTTCTTTCCCCTGGTTTAATTGCTTTGTTCTTTTTAATGTTTCTTTAAGCTTTATCTTATAAACATAGTAGATGTTTATACACATACCTTTATTATCTCAGGACCTTGGGATAGGCCCTCATCATCTCTCATGTGGACCATTGCATGGTCTGCATGCTAGTCTTGCTTTAAGTTTCTGACCTTTGAAATTTTTCAAAGCTGTGGCAGCTTGATGCTGAGATGCTGAGTATAGCTCAGGACGGAGCTTGATGGTCCGCTCTCACTGGTCAGGGCACATGCTACCTCTATAATGGCTCACTGCAAAACAAACACTGAACACTACTTTCAGCTTTTACCTTTCTAAAATCAAAATGAAAAAACTCTATTGGATTTCTTGGCAGTTAGCAAAGACAGGTGCTATTGTAGGTCTTTCATAGAAGTAAAATGGCTTAACATGAACTTTTGAAAAGCTGGGATACCTGTATTATATAGCAGTAAAAAAAGAAATCTGTTGTCTCTGACAATATGGTTAAACCCACAGGGCATTATGCTTAGTGAAATAAGCCATACAGAGAAAGACAAATGCTTCATGGAACTTTGTTCCTAATGGAATCAATCACTTATATGCAGAATCTTAAAAAAATAAAAATAAAAAATAAAAAAAGTCAGACATACAGAATAGAATGGTGGTTACCACGGTTTTGAGTGGGGCAAATGGGGAGATGATGGTACAAAATTATAGTTCTAAGATGAATAAGTTCTGGGGATCCAATGTACAGCATGGTGACTATAGTTAATAATAGTAAATTGTATACTGAAATCTGCTAAGAGAGCAAGTCTCAAGTGTTCTTGTCTTCCCAGATGAGAACCAGTTACTTTCCCAGAAAAAGTAACTATGTGAGGTGATAGATGTGTTAATTAACTTAACTGCAGTAATCACTTCACAGTATATATGTATATCAGGTCATCTTGTTGTAAACCATAAATATACACAATTTTTATTTGTGAAATATACTGCAATAAAGTTGGGGGAGAGATGGAAAGCAACAGATGAAAGGATTTGTAAAATGAAAGATCATTAGAAAATACCCAATTAAAGTGGGGGAAGAAAAAAGATAATATATATAGAAGACAGTGTGCAAGCTATTATGTGATGAGATAAACCCGCTTTACACATGCATAATTCTAATTCCAGAATGAAAAGGTTAGGACAGAAACAGTATTTATATATTGACTGATAAGTTCCCAATTTTGATGAAAAATACAAAGCCAAGGATTCAAGAAGTTCTGAGAGTCCTCAGCAGAATAGAAACAAAGAAAACCACAGTGAGGCACATCATAATAAAAAGACTAAGTTAAAAAAAAAAAAAAAACACAAAACAAGAAAACAGAGAAGACAGGTTACCTTCAAAGATGCACTGGTAAGACATACAACTGACTGTTTAAATGTAGACAATGGAAGCAAGAAGACAGTGGAATAGCATAAAAAGGCTAAAAGAGATAACTGCCAAACTTGAATGGATACCCAGTGAAAATACCCTTAAAATTAAAGGTGAAACAAATACATTTTCATTCAAATAGAAGTTGAGAGAATTTATTGTCTGCAGAGCTTCACTAAAAAATATTAAGGAAGAAGTGATACAAAAAGGAAGTACAACTGCTAAAGAATGAGAAGCAGTAGCAGTAGTATTATGAAGTTTAAAATCTATGTAGAGACAAAATACTTGACAATAGTAGCACAGAGGTAAGATGGGGCCTATGTGGAGTTAAAATGTTGTAATATACTCCCATTATCTGAAAAAATGGTAGAATAACTAATTTAAAGTAGATTGTAATGTGTCAAAGAGACACATGATATTCTGTATGACAACCAGTAAAAGAATAATAAAATAATACAAGTAACAAGCTAATATAGAGGGGAAATATAAAATGAGAAAAAAACTTGATCATTTCAAAAGAGGACAAGAAAGGAGGGAAAAAGAAACATAAAGCATATAGGACAAATAGAAAACAATTAGCAAGATTAAAGATTCAAAATTAAACAAAACAACAATTACATTATATGTAAACAGACTAAATATTTCAATGAAAAACACAAAGTATCAGACTGAGAAAAATATATATTGCTTGCAAGAGGCATACCTTAAATTTAAGAGCAAGAAAGATCTAAAGTGCAAGGTGGAAAAAATACAAATCGTGCAAACATTAATTAAAAGAAAGAAGTGTAGGTACACTAACATCAAACAAAATAGACAACAAAGCAAGAATTATTACTTTAATATTGATTCAACCATTTTAATTTTAGGATTTTTAAGGCATTCTAATTCTTCAATCAACTTTGGTAAGTTATATTTTCTAAAATTTTTTGCATTTTGTCTAAGTTTTCAGATATATTGGCATAAAGTTGAGCTTTTATTTAATCTGTACTTCTATCCCTCTTCTTTCTTTTTGAAGTTTTTTATTTCCATGTAATTCCATGTAATCAGTCTTTTCACTTATTTTTTAAAGATTTTGTTTATTTGTCAGAGAAACAGAGAGAGAAAGGACAAGCAGGGGTAGGGGCAGAGGGAAAGGGAGAAGCAGACTCCCTACTGAGCAGGGAACCTGACATGGGACTCAGTCCCAGGACCCTGAGACCATGACCTGAGCCGAAGGCAGACACTCAACCGATTGAGCTACCCAGGCATCCCTTTTTTTTTTTTTTTTTAAGATTTTATTTTTAAGTAATCTCTACACCCAGTCACCCAATATGGGGCTTGTACTCACAACCCTGAGATCAAGACTCACACGTTCTACGTGTCCCTCTTCTTTTAATGTTATTTATTTGTGCTTTCTGTGTTTTATTCTGATTAATCTCACCAGAGACTTTTCTTCTTTATCATTCTCTTCAATGAAGAACTCATCTTCTAAAAAATATTTCTTAATGTAAATTTGTTTTCTACTTCATTGATTTCTTCTCTTTCCTATATTATTTTTCTTCTACTATGTTCTTTGGGTGTATTATTTTCCTAATGTGTATCTTATACCTAAAATTTTAATTTTCAAACCTTCTTTTCTAACATAGAAATTTGAGGTATAAACCTGTCTATGTATAACTTCTACTGTATTACACAAGTTTTGTAATATTTTCTTTATAATTTAGTTATGAATATTTTAATGCTTATTTTGATTTCTTATTTGACTGATGAGTAATCTAGAATGTGTTGTTTAAATTTCTATTTGAGAATTTTAAATTTATCTTATTGTTAACAACTTCCAACTTAATTGCATTGGTTTGTATGAAGTTTTGAAGATTTTTGAAGTTTTTTGACATTTGCTTAATACCTAGAATCCAGTTTATTTGTAGCCAGAGAGTTTTTCTAAGTGTCAGGTTCATTATACCACTAAGAACAGGTATCCTAATCATATTCTTCCCTCCATGATCCCTCTTTCTCTGAACTTCCTAATTATGTTACACTCAAATAACAAAACAAACCAAAAATAACCACAATAGAGAATTTTAGATAGCTTTTTTGACACTTCACCATTTGAAATTAAATAATATTTTAAAACAGTTTGAATCAGTATATTATTTTCAAAGTTTTCTATGTTTTGAAATAGAAGTATTTATTAGTCTTTATATATTTAGGGCAATATGTAGTGATTGCATGGGAAGTTTGAATTTGATGAATCTGAATTCAAATCCTTTGCCCTTGGGCAAGTTTTTTAACGCCATTAAATCTTCTTTTTATATCTGTGATCCAAGATAGTACTAGTTGCCTACTTCATAGTGTTGTGTGGCTGGAATAAATGTAAGTACTTGACACAAAGAGATCATTTGATATATCTCTTCTTATTATTACTACCACTCCATAATAGAAACTTGAGTAATGCTGTTCAGTTAATGAATGATTCATTTTCCTTTACAATTCTACTATTTTACTAAACTTAGCATTTATGAGAAATGGTATATTTGGAGGAAATAATTTGATGAGCATGCAAGGTATAAAACAAGTTAATTATTTATGGAGACTGTATCTTTTGCTTTGGAATAAATTCCACAGCCATCCCATGTTTTAAAAAGTACATTATAGACTCAGATTGAGTTTTATATAATTAAATACAAACAGTATAGTTTTTTAGCTACATTTTAAAAAAATATTTATTTATTTGAGAGAAATCATGAGAGGGGGGAGAACCAGAGAGGGAGAGGGAGAGAGACCCACTCCCACACCCTGCTGAGTGGAGCTCTATGCAGGGGTCAATCCCTTGACCCTGAGATCATGATCTGAACCAAATCAATAGTCAGACGCCCAACTGACTGAGCCACCCAGGCACCCCTAGTTAAATAGTTTTGAGATGACTTGATATCACGTTACTTTAGAAAGTAAATACTTTCTATTTTTACTTCAACGAATGTGATATATCAAGAACTAGCTGTGTTTAATGGTCATTTGAGGAAGAGAGATTTTGTTTGCCCTCTATTTTAGAGAATATCATTTAGAAAATATTATGTGCTTAACTTTAATAGATGATTTATTTTTCTTCACAGTTTCCGGCTTCAGTGATCCTCTTGCTGGAGCATCATCTCAATACTTACAGAGACTTTCCAAAATGGCCATATTGGAGTATGATACCATTCGTCAAGAAACTACTAGAAAATCCAAAAAGAGCAAGAAACGAGACCTGAGAGACTGCTGATAAGTATCACATCACATGCGATGCTTTCTTCACTGCTGTCTAAGGTTTATATATTTTTTCCTTTCTTTTTCTTTTTTTGATATGTGGTATGATGTGCAATGATTTACATAAAAACGGAAATGTAAATAAGAAATAAATATTTTATGTAATATACAGAAGCATTTGCTTTTCATTAACAGCTACAAAAAGACATTTAAGTTATGGTTTTGGGGGGACATGACATGAGAGAAATTACATTCCATGAATTTTATATACATTGACTATATCCTTCGATTCAATTTGATACATGTGTTTTGAGTGCCTGTCTGTACAGTGAATGACATTGCTATCTGCTGCAGAAGATTCAAGACAGAGTGAATCATTATTGGGATTAAGGATGCCGGATACAAATCCCTCCTTTTCCCTGCTTGAGTTTGAAAACAGTTGTGAGAGAAGTATTCGAGCGGATGAAAATATTAGCTTTGTTTGCTGCTAAAACCTGGAAGGAAAATCCTGTCTTAGATATGTGGCAACAGTGGGGCTCCTAATCCTGAACTTCAGAATCGGACAAATGTACACATTCAAGCATTATTGACAAGCTCACCCACCACATCAGGGCTTTTTCTGCCAAGTAGGGCAAGTCATTTCCACTGTGTGGACAGGCTGAACCCTGAGGGGAGAGATGGAGACTTGCTCCATTTCTGTAGGGAGGTGGAAGAAAGGTCTAGGTCAAGAGAAAAACCCTACCTTCAGAAAGCCTTGAGGAGTGGGGGATACACATCCATCAATACACTTCCCTGAGATATGGGAAGAAATCAAGGATACCAATGACTGATCGTGAGGAGTGGGATACAGGCCATAAGAGAAAAGAACTACAAAGTGTTACAGAGCTTCAAAATCAGGGCAGTAACATCCAGCAGGGTGGTCAGAGAAAGCTTCACAGAAGGTAACAGTGTTTGAAATGAACCTTAAAGACAGGAAAGATGGAGGGAGAGAGCATTTCTAGAAAGATGAAATAAGATAAGCAAAGAAATGCTCTGCATTTGGGAATGATGCATTTGATGGGGACACTAGGTAGTATAGGGGAAGTGTCATCAATTCACATGGTTATAGGCACCCAGCCAGGACCAGATCAAGAGGTAGAGCACCAATCGGATGAAAGCTGTGGTGAACCAGGGCATGTTTCTCCATTTAAGAGGCCACTCCCTGCCTAGCTTTGTGCCATGTGGCAATGTGTAAATGTGAGCCACTAAGTGAAATAAGCAACTAATTCCATATGTATAAAAATATGTATTCCATCTGTGGGTCAAAGAAAATTACACGGGCAAACTAGATCTGCCTTTTTGGGGCCATTCATTTATGCACTCTCAGGGTCAAAAGAATTGAGGGTGATAACCTGGTGACACCTGGTAGGAAACCTCAGATGCCAAGCCTGAGTTTGTATTTGCTCTGTTTCACAATTGCAGATTTTGAGAATGAAAGCAAATTATTGCATTTGTGATTTAGGAAGGTTCATGCAGGTTATAACCTGAAGGCCAGGTTATAATGGAAGGGGGCTGGAGGTAGGGAAAGCATTTAGGATGTTGTTATAAAACTTGAGGTGAGACTTTCTCAGTAGAAAGGTAGAAACGGGAATGGGAAGGAGAGACTAGATAATTAAGATGTATTGGCAAAGGACTTCAAATTAACCGGTTAGCATAGGGTATCAGGAGAGGAAGAGTCAAAACCAGTTCATTTCCAATTTTAGACATAAGATTCTCTGAAGGAGATGCTATTTGGGAGGAATAAAATGATGAATGCAACTTTGGTATAGTCCATTTAGGGTGCCATCAGGACGGAGATGCCAAATAAGTAGTTGGAAGCAGTCTGTAGCTCTGGAAAAAGATACTGATGGGAACTAGATCTTGGAGAAACATTTGCCTAGCAAAGCCCATGGTTCTCCTGATTAAAAAAAAAAAAGTAAGTAAGAGAAGAGAGCCCAGATTCCTAAGGGATGGAAGGAAATAGGAAGAAGACAAAAACAGATGTGGGAGACCGAACATGTTCCATGTCCTTGAATGCTTTATATTAATGTGTAAAATACATTATGAATATGTATGTGTTTGTATGCATTATTACAGTGCATTCATTCCTGGAAGATAGCCAAGTAAACGTAAGTGGATATGTTTGTGCTTACCTCTGAATTTCAATTGAAAATGGCTTAGATATTACCTGTACTACTTCTGTCTGCTGATCAACTACTCCAAGTGTGGTCAGTAATTTGAGAAATGGGAAACAGGAGAAGAGCTACTCTCAAACAAAAATTTGATGAGCCCTTCTAAACATCTTTGATTATCAAATGGATTTCATTTATTTAGCTCCTAGTATGTACCAACATTTTATATTACTTTGTAAGCATTAGGAAAACCCTAAAAAGTAGGTAAGTGACATTTTTGCTGTTTTATAAATGAAGCAAATAAAGGATTTTTATTTTGCACTGGGTCTGTAGCTAGAAAACAGGAGAGCTAGAAATCTAACCTACTAGGATTCAAAGCTCATATACGTAAACTTAATAGAATTATAATTTTTTTAAAAACTTAAATTTATGTGATACGTCATGATTTAGTTACTTAAAATTTAGAGGAAGACAGTCCTTGCCCCGAGAGGAATATCTCCCGGTCTTCAGTTGAGTTTCTAAATTATGACACTAAAACATCCTGTAGCATTTATACTAGTGGAGTGAAAATCTCTGCCTCCTTCTCCCCCACGAAAAAGTTCAACCCAAGTCAATGAAAGAAACGAGTGGAATGTTTATTTCTTTCTAATAAAGAAAGATATGAGATCTACTGACAATAATTAATCACTTTTTAAGCCTTGGATTAAATTTAATTTAACTTATGCTTTTCATTAAATTTTCAAAAAGTTAAAAGCTCCCCCAGGCTCTACTTCCTTGTATTGCACGTACTCTTTTTGTTCCTCATGAACAGGATGTATTCAGTACAGAGAAGTTTCAACCACCCCCTTAATGAGATAAACCCAAGGTTGCAGAGATAAGTATGAGATGCCAACTTCTGATATCGTAGCTACCATGGATGTTAAATTTATGTTTGAGTCGAAGATGATCTTGCCAGAAATGACCTTTTTGCATTTGTGATTTGGAAAGTCCTCCAGTGAAAGTGATATTAATCATAGTCTTGGGAAACTGTACCTTCTAGTAAATATTTAAGATGGGAAGATGGAGTCTTGATTTTAGGGTGAGAAAACAGTTCTTTACAAAGACTAATTGCTTCAGCGAAGGACAAATCATTAGCCAATGACAATTTCAAAGAAATTCCCTAAAAAAAAAGACCCACTGTCTTTTCTCTAATTCTATGCTCTTCTATTAAGCAACCCTCTAATATGTAGTTTCAAATCCTGAGTAAATATAGTCCCCCAAAAGTTGGTACCTTCTTTGAATGATGTATCTTAAATCTAGGATTGGGTATGTTAATTAACGTACTGTAATTCTGATTCCTCTGTGAATCTGGTGGGTGGGAGCTGGTACACAGATCCTGATTATTCTGGTCAAATTAGTGAATTGAGGATTTGCGTTTTTCTGTTTGTTCTGTTTTGTTTTTTTACTAGAAAAATCACTTCAGTATTTTTGGAAGAATAATTTTCATTTTCAGGAATTTCAACAGTGCAGAAGAAGAAAATTCAAAAAGTACCTCAAATCTCACCAGTCATAAATAAAATCAAGTGTATGTCTTTCTCTGTATTTTTGCAGATGATATAGAACTACTTTTATTGTAATGGGAGCATTCTATGCATGCTATATCAAAGTTAGTCAACTTAATTTTACTCTGATATAAGAAATAAACAAATGCAAGTAAAGACATGCATAAAATCCAATTATTATTAATTTTAAAATATTTTATTAATCTATATTTAGATCTATCTTTAGATTTATCTCTGAATCTAGATCTAAACCTTTTTTCCCATGTGCCAGCACATAGTGTGAACTGAGAACCATCTTAATTATTTTATGAGAAAGAACATCAGCACTAGAGGTCAGTTGGTGATGAGATGGTTCAAACGAAAGACACTGGACTCTAGTCACAGAGGGAGAGAGGACCAACTAATCAAATTTCTGAGGAGTGGGGAGCAAGTGGGAGATCCAGACAGGTGAGTGGCAAACTGTGGTTAGGACTTGATAGAAGGAAATTTGGTCTAGCCTGGCAGGCACTGTTGTCAAAGGCTAGCAGCATGGAGCCACTACTTGTTGGTCTTTAGTCAGGAACTCATTGTCTCAGGACAATGTTCTTAGGAAACAGACACTGTGATGGAGATAATGTGCCCAAGAAGTTCACTGGGGAGTGCTGTCAGGAACAGCACTGATGAGGGAGAGCAGGTGGAATGAAGGGCAGAGGAGTTGAATAGCAATGCAGTGTCATTGAAATCTTTAGCCAATCTCGCATGGAGCGCTGGAGCTGGAAAGGCCCTTCAGTGTTGTACAACCCTGGCAAGGAGATTTCACTTTATAAACCTCACCCCTTTCCTCACTGATCAGTCATTGGCTCACTGGAGGTGGACCATGTTTGATGAAGGGTTTGACCCTGGGCAAGGTGGCTCTCTTCTGCTGAGGAAAATTCCTGAAGAAGCACAAAAGCCATGAGCACTGTCAGCTATGAACATCACCAACAGCCCCCCACCCCACCCCACAGGAGAGTGAGTACCACAGTCCTAAAAGAGAGATCTCAGTGGCAGAGTCCAATATCCACTACGCCTTTCCCCAGAGACAACCAAAATACGAGGTGGGGAATGAAGATGAACACCTAAGGAGAAGGGAGAAGATGACTTTACCACACACTGGTAAGGATCCTACTAGGAGAATGTTCAAATGAAGAGACTCCATGGTCAATGTCAAGGAAGCAGATAAGATCACGAAGTACCCACAGATAACCAACAGTAGAAGGCTGTTACCACCCTTATGGCTGAAGGGCTAAGGGAGGAAAATAGTATATCTGGGCCCAGTGGTAACTGACCTGTAGAAGAACAACAGTCTGGCAGGAACCATAGTCATGAGGGATGCCAGAAGGTGTGCCAAGGGAGAAGATAAGTCCCTGACCTCTTTTTACTACCACTTTCCACCTCCTGCCAGTGCCTCCCATCAGTCAAACCCAGCTG